GAAGGATGTGCAGCTATGACATACAACTATCTACTGGGGCTTTGGGGGAAAAAAAAAAATAAATAAAATTATAAAAAAAAAAAAAGGAATAGGGATTTGTTGACACTATATAAGCAATGGAAGAGTTACTGATTATTTCTTAGATTTTAGTCTGAGGCATTGGAAAAATAAAGATTATATTATCTGAAATAGGATAGTTTGGGAGAGGAAATAAGCGACAGAGGAAAAGCATAAATCGCAATGGTGTTATATTTTAATTTCTTTACAGGGTATAAGGGGAGAGCATATTATTCACAAGTTCAGGATTTTTTCCTACTATCAGACTCTTTTCAGGCCCTATTTTCACCTTTTCTTTCTGGTTTTTCTAATCACTCTTTGTATACACAAACTCCCATTTGTCAAGTAAGCACTATTTAACAATTTCCGTCTATTCTCTTAAATCCTGAAAAGCACCAACCAACCTTTTGTAAAACTTGCCATGTTTTTATGATACTCTAACACTAGATTAAAAAATGGTGACTCTACAAAATGATACATTTTATTTTAGTGATCGATTTATATATGGGTTGCTGAATGCATCTGTGTTGTAGGCTTTTTGGCTAATATAATTTGTGAAAACCCTCTCAGCAGCGTGCTGTTACAATGACCATCTTCTGGGGCTTGGAAATAGGCTTATTATACAGACTTTAATGTTACATACTAATGGCATTTCTTAGAATGGAATCCTGTGTGTCTTATTACCTCCGACATCAGCCTGGCTTTTTTAGCCCCCTCACAGCATGAGACTTTGGTAATTATGCTAATGTTAGCTGATTCACAAGGATAACGTCCTAAAGTGCACTTAATTAACTTGGAGATTTTGTAAACAGCTGTACATGTAGGTTCTGCAAATTGTAGGGACATGTCAATCCGATACGTACAGTCTGCCTTCCTAACCTCATCACTTTTTACTAAAGCTGAAAACAACGAGAAGCTCAAATCTGGCACCTTTTGAAGCAAATGCTCGGGAGGATCTGGTTCCTCCTGTCTGAGTCTGCGGGGACGATCTGGTTCCTCCTGTCTGAGTCTGTTGAGCCAGAGGAATTAGGTAGATTGTTGCCTTTTATGTTGGTATGAGGGAAAATATTAAAGTTTGTTTCTTTAGCAAAGGGTACAATTTTTCCAACACGTTTCTGCAATGTGATTTTGCCCATGGGTTTGTTAGTCCTGCCGACCAATATTGCTCTTCAGGGGACACTTCCGCAAGTCAGATTTCATGTCCACTATCTCTGCTTCCTTTTAGTCCCAGCTGCTGGGTTGATTTGATATTTGAATCACTCATCACCCTTGTTTGAATGCAAATCACCTGACTTTTGACATTTTATTAAAATCTCACACTCCCTTACAAGTAAGAGATAATATTCATGTACAAAGAACATTTAACCAGGACAAACAGTGCCATACAAGACTTTAACATACGCACAAAGATTTAAGAGAAAAGGTTGGTGAATTACTTCAAAGCCAAGACCAAGCTAATCAAAATGGAGGGAAGAAACACCATCAAGAAAGAACAGAAGGAAAAAAGACCCTATACATACAATAAGGAGAAATACGAACTGCATAAAGCTAATGACAACAGAGAATAGGGATGGTTTTTTAATAATCTTCTTATTACCACTGCTAAGATCACAGTCTCAGATAAGTCCTAGAAACCAAGCTAGGGATTTGCCTATAGTTTCTCAAGGGTCCTGGCAAGGGCTATTCCTCTCATTAATTTAAGCTACAATCTTGGATACAATCGCTTTGGGAACTAGCTAGATTAGACCTAAAGATAATCAAGCATTTATTGCTTAGCCTTTTCTTTGACCTCAATCGTCAGAACCTCTTCCCCGGCCTCCGCAGAAGGAGCCATGCTGATGATGAGTGATTGATGGCTACTTTCTCTGGGTAAAGCTGCCCTGCTAGTCGGCTGGGGCGTTTCCTCTGCTGTGACAGAACTTGCTGTCTGTTCGGATCTGTCCAGTGGTTTCTCTGCTGACTCTCTTCCTTTATCTTCACCTTCTTTTTCTCTACCCGCTCCTCCTTCAGAATTTTCACTTTTTTTCTGAAAGAAGCAGTTACAAAGAATTGGCACTGAAATCATCATCAAGGACATTGGAGTCTTTTGATTAATACACAGTGGCTAAGGATCCCCACCACCACAGACTGAATTAAGTTGATATGGGAATCATGTCTGCATGACTGCATTCGACTATCATTTGGCTATGTTTCGGATGTTCTGCAGAACTGGGCTGAGCCGTCACATTTGACTGATGGTGTTAGTCTAGACTACAGTTTGTCCCCGCCAAAGAACCCTCTTCTTATTGGTTCTCACGCTCTCTGAATTATTAGACTTGGTGCTCAAGACTCTTTGTTTCTGCTTTTTAAATATTTATTTATTTTATGAAGATGAAATTTTAAATATTTATTTTTTAATAAAAAAGTATTAACCAAATATCACAAAAATACTATAAAAAGCATAGTTTCCCTCCTGCCTAAGTATGTGGGAGAACCTCAGGGAGAAACTTACATCTCTTGCCTCGTACAACCTTCTCCCTTCATCCCATGGGTGCCTCAGCTATAGTTTTAGAACCTTTTGTGTTTAGTATCATCTGTAGAAATTTCATAGTAAAAAACATACCATGCTCTTTACCGGTGAGCTTGGGATCCATTTGAGAGAAGCTTATACAAGGTGTGAATGTGCACACACAAAGTCGAGAACCTTACTTAACATGCTGACTTATGTATTTCTTTACCCCCATACATCTTTTACACAAGTTACTATTTCTACGCTGATGTAAATGAGACACTTGGTTTACACCGTATCCTTAAATTTCACCACAGTGTTGTGTGTGTGGGAAAGGAAGAGGCAAGTTTCAGTCTCTTGAGTGTGGCTAAATTATAAAATATATAATATTTGCTCTACCAATTTTCTGAAAGATCCACAGCTACCCATTTCTTTTAGTTTTAGAGATAACATAATGAGTAGATTCAGAAAACATGACTCCCTGTTTTGTTTCTCAGTATCTGCCCTCATAGGCTTATTATGAGAATAAAAATATATGGGAAAAAAAGAGAGAAAAATAATAACATTTGAGTTTTTTGACATTTCTAGGAATTGGGGGGCAGCTCGGTGTAGTCCTGAAAGTCTGGACACCTGAGAAATAGTTTTTGCTCTGTCACTGATTGTGATCTTATCCAAATAGATTGATCTGGATCTCCATTTCTTCATCTATAACATGAAGGGCTTGAATGAAATCTATGAGGTCACTTCTGGCTTTGAACATTTGTGATACATAATTGATTATTTGTGAAAATGTTTACTGGCTTATTGGTAAAATATGTTATATATTTATAGGCATATATATATACAATTGATTCTCATTATTCATGGTGGTTTTGTTCTATAAAGCTGCCACGGGCACTGAATTAGCAAATACTGAACCATTGCTCTTAGGAGTAATGCAGGATTAGGTTCCAACGAGCCTCTGGCCACAACATTTTTGTCAAGTGGTCAATACGTAACCTTGTTTCATATGTATTTCTGTTTAGAGACACTCACTTAACATATATTGTTGATTCATTACATGGAACTCACGGCCAGCAGCACTATAGCTCATGCTTGAAAGAAGCTTACCTAACGCATGTGTTTTCTCTGTAAGGCACAGCAGAGCGTTTCTGCACTCAGGAACTCTAGACAGCACTTCAGCGCTAGGCTTAGGGGCCATTTTTAACAGTGGATAAAAAAAGAAACAAAAATGCACAAAACATAGCAGTTAGACCATGAAAGGTCACTTGTTGACAGTGTGAGGGCGGAAATAAGAAGGGAGAGCATCTCTTGCTCACCTCAGCTGGGAACATGAGCATCGGGCAACTTAAATTTTTCACTGCTCTGCTCACACATACGTCTGTAAATGACCACAAAAGCACTATGAGTATTGATTTTGAGGTTACAAATACATTTTAGTGAGTAGGCAGATTTGCAAATATAGAATCCACAAATAATGAGGGTCAACTGTATTTATACATACGTTTATATTAAAATCATCTATAATAAACCCATGAGATTAAATGTGGTTATATATGTGGATACAGTTTAAGTAATAATAAGTGCTATATATAAAGTAGTAATTATTTGCATTAGATGAATCCAAATTATCCCAGTGTCTGAAATGGAATTAAAAGAGGAGCCTGTCTGGGTACACTGAGTCCAGTGGTCTCTCCGTTACAGGCCTCCATTCACCCTGCCATTCACATACCTGAATGGTTTGTTCTCTCTTCAATTTGAGTAGTCTTGAGAGATCTGGTTTTTCTGTGCCTCCAAGGAGAGCTTTAAACATTTTGGGGGTCTCTGGTTTTGGAGGGAAGAGAAGGGCAAGTCCTTTTCTTGGAGGGGTTGCCTCCGCGGCCGGACCCTTTTTCTTTAGAAGCACTCTGTGGGCAGGAGAGAAAGGCCATTTTAGAAAACGCTGTGAGAGTTCTGGAAAAACCTCCCAGAAATACTATTGTTTCTCCTAATCTGTGAGGTTTTCAATGGATAACTGTATAAACAGTTGTTTGTTAAGTGAATCTCAGAGAGAAACTTGATCACTGCCATCAAAACACAGTTCTCCTCTTAGATTTTACAAAGTAAAACCAACTCCTCTCTAAAGAGGTTTTAAAGGTTGTACCTGGCTTTCTTCATGAGGAGCTTTTCAGAATCTGGATAATGCACTAGAATTTTTTGGAGGGTCTTCTTGTCCAGAGTTAAGAGATTGGCAAACCCATGGGCCACCACGTTGGCGGTTCGACGGTTTCCTCCTCTTGCCGCTAGAAGGCTGTAAAAGAGAAAAGTGAAGCTTTGCCACGAGTTTCACTCTTCCTCTACCCAAATCTCTGAAAAAATAGATATGAAATATGATAACCATTTATACTGCTTCAGAGATCATCCCCTGGAGGTGAGAGTTCAGGTGATTGTGTGGAGAGAGTCAAGATGTGGTGGCAATAGAAGCGGCAACAGTTTTCAACATGTTTTGTCTCTCTCACCTCAGATTGAGGACTGGTCGCCATCAGTGCCCATGAGATTCTTCATCCCAGACTCCAGAAGCTCAGAATCTCTTTGGATTGGGTGTCTCCATTTGCTCCCCTAGATTCACCTGTCATCCTTCCCCATCCTCTTTGCTCCTCAGGAAGCTGATCTCTGTGGGCTTGCCCTCTGACTTTCATTTGGGTTCAGCCAATGGGAATTACCAGTAGGAAGTCGGAAAGCAGGAGGAGAGTGGGGTTGGAGAATTTATTCCCTCGTTCTTTCCCTGCCAGGCCTTCGGTGAGCAGTGGCTGCAGTTCTCTGCCAACATCCACAGCTCCTGCCATGCGGCCATCTCTTAGAAGCACACCTCCCACAGCTCTTTCTGTGTTTCTGGTAATGTGTCCTCCCCTTGTTCCCTTCAAGCCTCGCTGTGGGCACAGCTCCCTTGCTCTTGCTAGCTTCAGGATGCATCGCCATCCCTTTTCGGGAACTTTTAGACTTTCCTTCACTTCGTCAATAATTCCTTTACTAAAGTCTTCTTAGTTACGTTGCTTGAGTGTACTTCTGTTTCCTGCCTGGGCTCTGACTGATACAGCTCTGAAATCAAATCTTACGATGCCCTGGTTACATCTGGTGAATTCAATCTCTTCCCCTACTTCACTCCCAAATCATCTTGTTTCTCAATATCATGAACTGCTCTGTAGTCTAGTCGTTCATATACAACTTCCCACCCAGAATGTCAGAGAATTCAGGGCTTTATATCTCTCAGAGACATACCTGGGCATTTTGCATTTGGGAAGTGACCAACGAATAGTCAACAAATAAATGAACACACGAATGAATAAAACAAATGGATAAAAATTCTATCATTCACCAATAATTTGGAAAATAAGGGTTGGTCTTTAAAACCAAGACAATAAAAAACACATTTCAAATATTTAAAAAAACACTGCAGGCTCTGCATTGAGAAGATAACACAATAGATTGAATCTCTTGGAGTCAATCAGTCAGAAATGGAGAAAAAAGGCTCACATTAATAAGAACGCGATCTCTAGGGGTGAAAAGGGCAGAGAAAACATCCTGGCAATATGAATATTCACACTTCCACCACCCTGCCTTCGGGGGCAATGAGGCGTGGCAAGCTGCCCGGGTCCTATGTCTGAAGATTTATATTAGACAATGTGTACGTTTTCCGACTGTTGTTAGAAAAGGGAACAATGTTCCTTGTGGTAAAGGGAACATTCCAACTGGCTGTTAATTGTAAAAAACTAACATAGGGTTTCAGCTCTGACATGGATGTTGTCATTCCCAAAATTACAACAAGAAAAAGCTGAACAAACTGAAAACTAATGACTTTTCTTGGACCCATCAGAGAACTGAGGTTTCAGGGTAAAACTCCCCCAAATCTGGAGAGACAGGGGAATCCAGGAAGCCACGGCGAGACCTGCCTTACCTGGAACAGAAGCCCTTGGAGCCATAACTGGTAGGAACACTTAAAGGGTGATTTTGACAAACTGCTGTAGGCTGAGAGTGGACTATCAAGAAAGTGAGATGCTCCTGGGGGCCACAGTTATGGGGACACTGAAACTTTTATGGGTTTTACCTTGAAGAACCCCACCATGTTCTCATGGTTAAGAGCCAAGAAAGATCTTGCTTGTGGCTCTGACAGTGGAAGGGGATGATTGTTATTGTAAAATACACCCAGCGCTCATTTGTTCTCCATAACAAAGGACTACTATCCAGAGAAAAAGACTACCAGAGGCTTATCCCACCTGGAGGAAGGGCATTTCTCCCACCCCAGGCCCCTCTAGCCTTCCTGTCTTACCTAAGGGGGATGAAAAGCTAGGAACACTTGTGAAGGTCACATCCCAGGGACACAGGTCCACTGAAAGACTGACAGTTAGTCGTAAGATTATAGATCTTCCCTACACCTTATCAGCATACCAAGGGGGCTCCAGTATAATAAGAGCGGATTATAGCTGCAAGATGTAGACTTTCAGGAGGAGGAGTACTTAGGGAAGGCCCAAGTTAGCAGGGGAGAACAAAGGCACTAGAGAAATTTGAAAGCTCTCGCACCTACAGCTACAGCAAAACATTAAATACTGCCCAACTCCTTAGCCAGATTAACAGAAAACCTCACACTGAAGACCTATTTATCTCAGTTCCTACTACCCAGTACATCATCTACAGATTTCAACAAAAAATTCCAAAGCACACTGAAAGCCAAGAAAGAAAAATACAGTCTGAAGAGACAAAGAAAGCATTAGAACCAGACTGAGATATGACACAGATGTTGGAATTATCACACAGAAAATTAAAAATAACTATGATCAATATGTTAAGGGATCTAATGGAAAAAGTAGACATTATACAAGAACAGATGGGTAATGTAAGCAGAGAGAGAAAAATTCTAAGACACATTCAAAAGGACTAGTTAAGACATCAAAAACACTGTAGCAGAAATGAAGAATGGCTTTGACGCACTCATCAGTAGACTGGACATGGCCAAGAAAAGAATAGATGAGCTTGAGAATAGGTCAACAGAAAGTTCCCAAACTGAAATGCAAAGAGAAAAAAAGAATGGAAAAAAAAAAAAAGAAAAGAACAGGACATCAAGAACTGTGGGACAATTTCAAAAAATACAAGCATCACATATATGATATATACATAAGCATACATAATCAAATACATCGTTGCTATTATTATTTTGAACAAACTGTTGTCTGTTAGATCAATTAAGAATGAGAAAAATAAAAGTTTTATTTTACTTTCACTTATTCCTTCTTAGATGCTATTCCTTTGTTTATAGAGATCTGAGTTTCTGATCTATATTATTTTCTTTCTCTCTAAAGAATATTTTAAAATATTTTTTGCAAGGCAGGTCTCCTGGCAATAAATTCCCTCAATTTTTGTTTGAGAACGTCTTTATTTCTCCTTCACCTTTGAAGGATAATTTCATTGGGTACAGAATTCTAAGTTGGTGGTTTTGTTCTCTCAAATTAAATACTTCACTCCACTCTCTTCTTACTTGAATGGTTTCTGGAAGTTGGATGTAATTCTTATCTTTGTTCCTTTATAGGTAAGGTGTTTTTTTCCTCTGACTTCTTTCTGGTTTTTTTCTTTATGTTTGATTTTCTGTATTTTGAAAATGATATGCTGAGGTGTAGTTCTTTTGGCATTTACCCTGCTTGGTGTTATGAGCTTACTGGATCTGTGGTTTGATGTCTGACATTAATTTGTAGAAATTCTCAGTCATTATTGTTTCAAATATTTTTTTGTTCCTTTCTCTCTTTCTTCTCCTTCTGATACTCCCATTACGCATATGTTACATCTTTTGTAGTTGTCCCACAGTCCTTGGATATTCTGTTCTGTTTTTGTCAGTCTTTGTTCTCTTGCTTTTCTGTTGTTGAGGATTCTATTGATATATCCTCTAGCTCAGAGAGTCTTTCCTCAGCCATACCCAGTCTGCTAAGCCCATCAAAGGCATTCTTCATTTCTGTTAACAGTGTTTTTTCATCTCTAGCATTTCTTTTTAACTTTTTCTTAGGATTTCTATCTCTGCTTACACTGCTTATCTGTTCTTACATACCATCTGCTTTGTCCATTAGAGCCCCTAGCATATTAATCATAGTTGTTTTAAATTTCTGATCTGATAATTCCAACATCTCTGCCATGTCTGTTTCTGACGCTTGCTCTGTCTCTTCAAATTGTGTTTTTTGCCTTTTGGTATGCCTTGTAATTTTTCGTTGATTGCTGGATATGATGTACTGGGTGAAAGAAACTGCTATAAACAGGCCTTTAGTGATGTGGTGGTGAAGTGTAGGGGAGAGGAAATATTCTATAGTCCTATGATTACATCTCAGTCCTTTGGTGAGCCCATGCCTCTGGACTGTGAACTTCACCAACGCTTCTTAGGTTTTTCCTCCCCCTTAGGTGGGACAGGATGGTTAGTATGGACTGGAGTTGGGTACTTCCCTTCCCCCAGGTCCATTAGACTCCAACAATACCCCAGCAGGTTAGGCTCTGGTTAACTAGTTTCTTCTGAGGGCAGATCTTATTAGGAAGAACACAGTGCTCTGGTGTATTTCAAAATGGTTCCTCTTCCCCTCCCACCACCAGAAGCACAAGGGGATTTTTCTCTGATATTTACTGTGGGAACTTAGTCGAGCTCCCAGAGGTAAATCTCAATATTGTGCAGGCCCCTCCCATGACTGGGTCCCCCTGGAGGTTTTAACTCTCAGAGTCAGTTTCAGTTCGGGTTTCCCGACCCGGGCACTGGTTCTTGCAGTGGTTTCTGCCCGTGAATCTCTGCTCGGGTAAGCTGCAGTTCCCTGTATTTGCCTGTCAGTCTCTCCAATCTTGGGGGCAGTGGTTTGCCTTCTGTTCTCCCCTCTCTTATAGATCCAAGAAGAGTTGTTTATTTTTCAGTCTGTTCAGCTTTGCTTGTTGTTAGGATGGAATGGTGGCTTCTAGGCTTCTTGCATGTGAAACCAAACATTGAAAAAGGTATAAAATATGTGTAATTGGAATACTACCCAGCCCTGGTGCTCTAGTGGTTAAGATGTGGTGCTCTCACTTCTGCAACCTGAGTTCGTTTCCTGGTCAGGGAACCACACCACCTGTCTGTTGGTTGTCATACTGTGGTGGCTGCATGTTGCTGTGATGCTGAAAGCTATGCCACCAGTATTTCAAATATCAGCAGGGTCACCCATGGTGGACAGGTTTCAGGGGCGCTTGCAGACTCAGACAGACCAGGAAGAAGGATCTGGTTACCCACTTCCAAAAAATTGACCATGAGAACCCTGTGAA